TTTATTGCACTTACAGACCATGAAATTCACTTGTTTTAAGTGCACAATTCACTGATTTTTTAGTAAATTTACAAAGTTGTGCAACCATCACAATATAACTTTAGAACATTTCCATCATGCCAAAAAGAAACTGCATTCCCATTCCTCATTTAGATAACCTTTTAAAAAGTTCTTTCTTTTATATTCTATGTTTCTAGACTTTACAAAGCTTTAGCAGCTCTTTCCTACCTATAGAACCAAGTTCAGATTTCTCAGTTTAACATTAAGGTCCTCCTCTACAATCCACAAAATTTCTCTCTCCAACTTAATTCCTTGAAACATTCCTCTCTTTGCCTTGCCCTAGTGAGCTACCTGGTCCTGAGCTTATTATGCTCTTGTGGTTCCCTTGGTAGGGAGTCCCTCTCACCTCCCCAATCTCTAAAGAGCAAAATCCTACCTATTATTCAAACTCAGCTTAAATGCCACTCTTTCCATAAAGCTTTTTTCATTTCATACTCCGCACATTCATCTAGAACTCAACCTTATTTGCCTTTAAACTCTAATACTGTTTCATTTGTCCCTCTTATGAAAGTTCTCGCTTTCATTCTTGGCATCTCATCACTTTACTTGATTAAGAGTTCCTAGAAGGCAGTTGCTATGTTTAAGACAGCTATGTATCCCTAACTATTTCCAATGTGGAATTTTGTAAATAATAACAAATAATGATAATGATGTTGTTGGTAGCTAAATTAAGCATCTATGATTCACCGGGCACTGGTCTAAGCACTTTTACAAATGTTAACTCATTTAATCCTAATAACAACCCTGTGAGATAAATACTGTTATTATCACCACCATTTTATTGATGAAGAAACTGAGGCACAGAGAAGTTACATACTTGTCAAGATCACAAAGTTTGAATTCAGACAGTCTGGCTCCAAAGCATACACTCTTAATCACAACAGTAAATGTCCATGCCAGCTAAAACTCAATCAATGTTAACTGAAAAATCCTAATTAATAAGGTTCCATTCCAGAAAGGAAAGCAATTAAAAATTCTAGGTGCTAACTGACACAGAAGTGTAGGGGGTAGGGAAAAGTACAAAGAACAAATTCAGGTTCAGATAGGTGAGTCAATGAACTTTTGTGGCATTGTTATTCCTGAGGAGCTGACTGCACGCCACTGGGCACTCGTTGTAGAGTGCCCCTAAGGAGCCTGGCTGCCTGCCATGTGTCAGGCATGCTTGTCCGCATGCTGTGCGAGTGGAGCGTGCCCACACCTGCTCTAGGAAACTGGTGCTGGGACCCAGTTTTAAGACTAAATTCAAACCTAGAATTAAATCTGGACACAGGTCATTTTTGGCCCCTTGATCTTGAGGGTACTTGACAGTGGGGTTGGTGAAGTGGTGCCACTTACGGGAGCTTGTGGTGCCTGCAGGGCCCAGATGGCCCACGCCTTCTAGATCTTTTCCTCCAGTTTATGGTTTACGTTTACAAGTAAGACCACTCTCCCCACCCCCACATACTTCCTGTTTCTCATGCTTTTTCTTCCTTCCCGAACCCTTAGCCAAAAAGTTTGTTTTCTTTTGTGCATACAGCCATTCTTTAATATCAGTGATGTACACCTCACTTTATTAAAAGATTATTCAACAACAACAAAAAATCATTGTTAAACCTTATGGTTATAACTTAAAAAGGCAGTTCCTCTCACACATAGGTGGTAGGAATGAAAAACTGGCAGTATCTACTCTAGCTGAACATATGCATATCCTATGATCCAGAAATTCCACTCCTTTATAGTATATCCCAAGAAAAATGCATATGTATATCCATAAAAAAATGTTCTATTTATAACAGCCAGAACTGGAAAGTCCCCATTAACAGAAGACTGGATAAATCACATGAAGCATGTTACCAAAATGGAATATGGAATATTATACAGCAATGAGAATTGTCTATAACTATAAGGAGTAATATAAATGAATCTTTCAAACATAATTTTGAGCAAAATAAGCCAGACACAAAAGAGTACATACTATATGAATCCATTTATGTTAGGTACAAAACTGGGCAAACCAGGGCCAGCCAAGTGGCTCAGCTGGTTAAGAGCTCGCTTGGGAGCGCCAGCTCTGAGCAGCAGGGCTGCGGTTCAGATCCCACATTGAGGGCCAGTGACGCTGCCCTCTACAGCTAAGATGCTGAACAACAGCTTGACCTGGAGCTGGGCTGCTGTGAGTCGCCAGCGACGGCGTAGGCTGCAGCAGGGCTGCAGTGGGCTGCCATAAGCCATGAGTGGCTGGCAGCCAGCGTGAGTGGCTGGCAGCCGGCCGCCCGGCAGCCGTTGTGAGCTGCCGGGAGCCCATGTGAGTAGCCGACCAATGACCGGTGACCGATTGCCTCACCCGGGAAGAGCACAATGATCATACCAACATGGGCCAGTGAAGCGACGTCCTCCACAACTAGACTGAAGAACGAAAACAGCAATTTGTCTACCTGTCCATTACCCTTCCCCGATCCCTCAATGCTGATCCCCTCCCCCCAATTCCCCAATAAAATATTTTTAAAAAAATGGACAAACCAATGTATTCTGTTAAAAGTCAGGATAATGGTTACCCTTAAGAGTGTTATTGACTAGAAGAGGAATGAGGTGACTTCTGTTTCTTGATCTGGGTGCTGGTTACATGGTTATGTGCAATTTGTGAACATTCATGGCATGTAAACTTATGATCTATAAGCTTTTCTATATGTATGTTACACTTCAATAGTTTTTTTTTAAAAAAAAGTCTTCCCAAGAAGAGAAAAAGATTAAAGCAAGAACCAAAAATAAAAATCACTTTTGCACTTGCATGCAGAACTAATAACTTAGAAGCTCATGGTTATCTCTTTGTCCTAAACGAGACAGAAGTCTCTCCCTTTTGTGGAAACAATGAGTTAACAAGAGAGGGCCATTTTAATCCCTAGCCACTAGTGCAACCCTAATCCTTTCCCAGAAATGTATAATAATAAAAGAAAAAAAATAGACTTCTTGCAGCATACCTACCACTTGTGGGCTCTCACAGCCCTGCCAGGCAGCAAAAGAAATACCAATTTTATTTTTAAAAACTAAGTCTTCATTTGGAGTTTTAATTTGTATTCCAAGATTCACAATACCATCCATGCAGTACAAATGGAGTCTAGCCACGATGCCAGTTAAAATTTTCCTGAGCATGAACCCCATCTCCACATCAGTCTGAAACTGAGCACTCTTATCTTTATTAGGCAAGTCACTTGACCTCTATTGGCCTGTTTCCTCATCTGTAACATAGGAATAATAAAAGTATCTCTCTTATAAGTTGTAAGGATTTCATACCTAGTTCATGTAAAGCAATTAGCACAGTGTCTGCCACATAGTTAAACATTCAATGAGTTACCTACTATTATTTTGATATGGGCAGAATAATGGTATCTTCTCCCTTACCATACAGCTAGCCCAGTTTATAGCTTTAATCCCCCAATAGGGGATTTTAATATTATAACACTCAAACATAAGGGCAGTTTTGCCTCCCCCTCTTCTCCAGGGAAAGAAAAACAAAGTGAGTATTCAGATGAGCTAATTTTGAACTGGGCAAATAGGATGGCCCAAGGTTAGGTGAATAAATAGAAGAGTGAGGCTGGATAGCAGAAGCCCCTTTGCTTTGATGATGCCACCTCCCTATACCATGCCAGGGAAACTGGTGCAAATGACATCACCTGGAAAGGAAGGGACCAAGAAAAAGCTAAGGCTGGTGGTACAAGGGAAGTGGTTAGCTTCAACAGAGAAGGGGCCTGAAGGAGTCAGGAAAGAAGACGTCTGAAGGTTGGAGCTCCTGCGTTGCCATCAGCAGCAGCAGGACCTTAAATCAACAAGTGGGCAGAACATTTTTCAAGTTAAAAAAAAAAAAAGCTTTCCTACACATCCTTTTATTTAGTCCTCACAACCACCCTAAGTGAGCAAAGTAAATTTCATTATCCCCATTTGATAGAGGAGGAAAGGCT